CACCTCCTTTTCTCTGTCTTTCTCTTTTACTCAGGTTAGCTATCTCTCCCTGTCCTTCTTGCTTTCTATCTGCAGTCACCGGTGCACAGCTCAAAGAGGTGGCTGATGGGAGTTCATTGGGTACAGTGTGTGTGTGTGTGCGCAGAGCCAGTGCGTGAAAGTGTGTTTGTCTCTCCGTGAGTGTGTGTGTGGCAACACAGCGATGTCACTGGGCTGTGTAATTGAAATGGAAATGAGCCAATCAGCGACTGCAGTGGTGTGCCACCTTACCCAGCATTCACTTCACTGTTGCAGCTCTCACAAACTCTCTGTTTGTGACTCTGTGTTTGCTTGGTCTCTGTGTACTGTGTGTGTGTGTGTGTGTGTGTGTGTGTGTGTGTGTGTGTGTGTGTGTGTGTGTGTGTGTGTGTGTGTGTGTGTGTGTGTGTGTGTGTGTGTGTGTGTGTGTGTGTGTGTGTGTGTGTGTGTGTGTGTGTGTGTGTGTGTGTGGTGTGTGTGTGTGTGTGTGTGTGTGTGTGTGTGTGTGTGTGTGTGTTTGTGCTGACAATACTTGGACCTTCAGTTTCAGCCCCTGAGGGCCTGAGGAGGTGGTGTGAAAATGTAATCAGTTGGTAATAAAGATTATGTGGCACTCTCTCACTCACACAAACATATGCAGCCACCCTCGGTGTCCAGCTGATTTCTCTGGCTTTGTGTTGTGACCACAGCTCCCTAGGACAGCTGTGGCATAACAAAGGCATGCAATTATCTCCATTTGACAATTAGCCTACCATCCAACTTTGCTCCTTAATTACCTATTTTACTGCTGGAAGCCTCCGCTGCCACTCTCAGCTGCAACTCTTTACTCACAAGAATGTAAAAGAGTGTTGCTCTCATGATGTTGCTATTAGTATGTCGTAAAAGAGGGAGTGATTGTGGTGGTTGGGTGGAGTGCGTACATGTGTATGGCATTGAGAGGAGGAGCGAAGGCAACTCAGCGTTAACTCCATCTGGACAATTTCTTATGTGATCTGTAGCAGCTTTTAGCTTTCGTCCTAGGAACATTCATAGAAACAAACATGTGAGCCATTTTTGTAAGCACTTTTGAGTGTGCCACCATAAAATATTCTTTTGTTTTCTTATAACATATCATAATTAAAACACCTAAAAAAGGGATCCTGCTTTAACGTCAACTTTGATTGGCCTGTTGTGATGGTTGAACAATACTGCCCCCTTTAAATGAACACAGGGCATCTGTATCAAAGCTCAACTGCCAGAAATGAAAGTTTAATATTTATTTAACATTTCATGACATAATAATGAAAAATATAGTTTTGATAATAAATATTATTTTGAAGCAAACAATATATCGCTGACACAAACGAACAATATATACTAATAAAGGACTGGCTAATCTAAAGCCAGTTGAGTAGCACTTGAAATGTTTTGGCTATATGAAACCTGATGTACTTATATGATTCTGTTTTCTTCTAGTTTGTATCTTCCTGGTCGAATGCACTATTGTAAGTCGCTTTGGATAAAAGCGTCAGCTAAATGCAATGTAATGTAACAAAACAGCAAATATTGATGCAACTTTAATTTACATGTGTCCTTTGTGCCCACTGGATTAGTTGATCCTGCAGTCTCTTTGCAATTACTCTCTTCTATTGACTGCAGTGTTACTGAACTGTCTCTTCTGCTAAAATGTCACTCTTTAAGATTTTCACAGAGTACAGCCTTGATTTACATTCCATTGGTGAAACCTCTTGGTACTCCTGTGTCCTTTACAGAGGCTGATATATGTTTGAACAACACATGTCCATTCCCAGTGAGGAAAGGCTTCCTCTTCCTCCCAAACAGTGGGGAATGTTTATAGAACAGCAGCAGCCGATTAAAGCTGCCATCGCTATAAACAACACACCAGCCGCATCTAAAACTCCCACATTAGTCCCTTGATAACCTGGTTTTATAAGGACAACAAACACAGCTTTTTACAAAATACAGGACGTTTTCAGGAGGACTTCTTGGTGATAATCCGGCACTGAAAGGATGTGGAGAAAAGTGTACATCTTGAACTGCAAACACGTTTATGTCATACACACAATTAAAGTCAATCTTTTTTTAATGATAAATGCCTCTTTGAACAACTCCTGCAGATACTTGGATCCACTGGGAACCTGGCAATACTATCTGCATTATTCAGTTCTGTTGCCTCTTTTTGTATTCCCTCACCTTCTTTTGGAACCAGGTCCCTTTCTCTCTCTCTCCCTCCCTGTCTGTTTCTCACCCTCACGCTCTTTCTCACTCGGTGCCATTAGCAGCTTTTGGCTGTCTCACTGCTGTTCATGTGCCAATGTGCCAGGGAGCTCACTGAGCTGATAACACAGACCTAATGTATGTACGTGGGTGTGTGTATGTGTGCATGTGGAAGTGTGTGCTAGTTGTGTGTGTGTTGCCTGTGTGTGTGTGAGACAGTGAGTGTGTCACATGTTACAAATGCCTGTCCTGTCCCTTTTATGTGCTCACTCACCCAAACATCCTCTGCTTCATTTGCAGTCAGGGCCACGAGCCACTATTCTGACTGCTGAGGCAGGGAGAGAAGGGCAGCTGAAACATTACACACACACACACACACACACACACACACACACACACACACACACACACACACACACACACACACACACACACACACACACACACACACACACACACACACACACACACACACACACACACACACACACACACACACACACACACACACACACACACACACACACACACACTGCGTGAGCGGATGGGAGGATGTGACCATTAAGTCAGTGACATTTTAAAGCAGGGAGATGCATGGCTCTTCCTGGACCTCCACAGACATGTTTTAAATGAGATGTTACAGATGAGCTGCTCCCTGCCTTGCTTGTAAACACTCTCACACTGGTATTTACCCTACACGGGTAAACACAGAAAGGCTACATTTCATGCTAGCTTATGGTCACATACACAAACATGCACATAAATAAATACACAAGAGCAGAACGGGCAGACACACATGATCACATAAATGAGAAATGGCTTTGATTCCATTTCTCGCATGATTGTTACATTAATCATCCCAAATAACAGAAAAAAATAAGTGACAAGTGAAGGCGCCTAAAAGCAGATTCTGCACAAATTGCTATTTGATCTTCCAAACAAGTGGTCTGGTTTGCATTGTGATCATAATTATGTGGGTATAGATGTACTGCAGATGCAAGTAAAGGCAGTGTTTTTAGTTTACATAAAGCGATTTAGAAAATGAATTCTATAGAACCAGAAGTCAAACATCACATTGAGCTAACTAAACTAGCTATAGTTTTAAATGGAGAAAGCAAATAAATATACTATAGGCTGCTATACAATTTGTACAGCTTACTACACCCACCATACTGTCATTGTCAGAAAGAAAAACAACTTTTCCAGGAAAAACAATGTAGGAAACCTCAGGAAGATGGAGAAATAATAGATGAGGGATCTTTTTTCCAGAATGTACAGTCATACAATACATGCCGTGTGTAACAAATAGACCAACATTGTAAAATTACAGTATGGTGAATTAGGATGACAAAATGAAAGATAAAAACTGTCAAATAACTTCCTGGTGCCACCAAACAGATTTGACCTAAGACCCATAACCTCCTCCCCACCATAGAGATGTGGAAAAAAGGACAACACAATCACACAAAGAATGGATGGCAAGAGAAAGAGGTCACACTTCTGCGTGTGTACTGCTTTAGTTAATCCTGAGGCCCGAGAGTCCTCAGGATACAATTATTTTAGCCTGTTATATGCTCTGCCCCTTGTGTGGAGCTTTAAGAGCCCTTCTTATAGACATCAGTGGCACTTTTCAATTAAAAGTTTGGTCAAAACTCTTGTCAGGTTGTGCTCTTACAGCACTTAAGACTGAGTCTCAATTATGAACCACACCATCTAGCCTCTGGGTGAAGCAGTGGCACCAGCTGTGTGTGTGTGTACTTTTTCAACTTTGTGAGTCACATCATCACCTTTTGGGGCACTTCAAGTGTGTGTGTGCTAAATTAAGGACATCTTTAGCAAGCTTACAGGTGTTTAGTGCTTTTCTGTCAGGCCCCCTGTGACCCCATGGTTAGGGTCATACCATCCCAAACCCCACGAGAAACCTTTTTGTTAAACAGAGAGAAGTGTGTGTGTGTGTGTGTGTGTGTGTGTGTGTGTGTGTGTGTGTGTGTGTGTGTGTGTGTGTGTGTGTGTGTGTGTGTGTGTGTGTGTGTGTGTGTGTGTGTGTGTGTGTGTGTGTGTGTGTGTGTGTGTGTGTGTGCTGTGTGTGTGTGTGTGTGTGTGTGTGTGTGTGTGTGTGTGTGTGTGTGTGTGTGTGTAGATGCAACTTGTCACAGTGTGTGGCCTTCTGATGAATCTGCCTGTACGTATTGAAGCCCTCTGACCCTGTGTGGCCCGTTCTAGATCATTGCAGTTGTAAAGATGCCTCACCGCACAGCCCTCAGGGACAGCCAGGCTCTGTATTTTTCCTCTCCTGACATTTACTGTCTGGGCCATCCTGTATCTCCGTGATCATTCTGGCTTGCTGTCTGTTTAGTTTTTTGTGGAAAAAGTACTAAAGAAAAAGTGTCTTTTTCTTTCAAGAGACGTTAAACTATTTTCTTGAAAGCATGTTTTTTCAGACATGGATGCGTTGGGAACACAGATATGTGCATGTGTGAGTAAATATATGTTGCAATGACTGATTTATAGATAAACCAACCCACACAAATGTATTGGAGCCAGAAGATGAGAGAGCTGAGGCTTGTAAATGTCCACACAGCATTGAAAGAATGCAGAGAGATCACACCTGCATTCTCTGCATATGTTCTGAATTTAAACAGCCTTTTATCTGTGATTATTGAAGCAATGTTGATGCATCAATACACAGACGTATTAGGATTATAAGATTTGTCTTAATAACAATAGATATAAAAATGAACCTTTTCCTCCTTTTTAACCATCAGGTTCCATCGTGGAGACTACCACATCGACGTATGCATAAATGACTACCTGGATGTGTACTGCCCTCACTATGAAGACTCGGTGCCTGAAGAGCGGACAGAGCGCTACATCCTCTACATGGTTAACTACGATGGCTACAGCACATGCGACCAAACCGCCAAGGGCTACAAACGCTGGGAGTGCAACAGGCCGCACTCCCCCAACGGGCCGCTCAAGTTCTCAGAGAAGTTCCAGCTCTTCACTCCGTTCTCCTTGGGCTTTGAGTTCAGACCGGGCAGAGAATACTACTACATATGTGAGTCTCCATCATGATGGCTTTTTGAATAGAATACTGTTTACACTGAGGGGTAACAAAGGGTAAACAACTAAATGTTTATTTAGGCTTTTCCTTTAATTCTCACCCTTCTGAGTACATTTAGGCCCCGGCTCCACGAGGACGGAAACTGGTTGAATCCGCATATTTCTCATGCGTATAGCCCTCTAAGCTCCACGACGCCGTAAGGGAAACGTAGAAAACAGACCCCGCAAACGACAACGGGTCCAAAGGTGGATAGATCTGGGAACTGAGCGCTCTGGGGGGTCCAACGGGGCCGTGGAGTCGCCTATACGGTCATTCGTTTTCATAGCCCCGCCTCTCCCCCGCGGGGTTGCTATCGTGCTCCAGTCGCTACTGACCATGCTACAGTTCTTTGTGCAACATCTACAGGAGCTCCTCCTTGAATTCAGATTATTTATCTTTATCTCGATATGGACATAAACGCGAGTGAAGTCTAATCTGACAGGACGGAGACACGCAGCTCCTGCCGCTGTGATGCAGCGGGAGCAAAACACACACTTCAAGTCAGATCATCACCCTTAGCTATTTTAATTACCTCTCAAACTACCTAAACTAGTTATAAATATGTTCATTTTTACTGTCGGGTCACTCATTACAGGATCAGCTGCTGCATGAGACAGACACTGACGCTGTCAGAAGAGAGGAAAAAGAGATGTATTTGATGATTATATATCATTATATCGTCGTTATTAATTTGTTTTAAAGCTCAATAAATAACAATGAAGACCTTTGACCGGCACTTTTATAATTTTTTCCGGAAGATTTAAACTTTAACACACGCTGACCGGCGAAAAACTCTGCCCGGTTCTGTCGGCCCCCACCGCGGAGAATACACAGAAGTGCAGCCATGACAACCATTCTTCTTCGCTGCTTTTGTGGAGGAAGTTACAGCGCCACGTACAGGTTCGGCATATGTACTGCAGCTTTTCCAGCGTTTGGATGTAAACGGAGCCGTCTCGTGGAGCTTGACACAATCCGGTGTATATTGCGTGGGGACGGAAGGTTTTTTGCGGTTGCATTTGCGTTACTCCGATGCGTTTTGCCGTATTTGTCCTCGTGGAGCCGGGGCCTAACAATAGTATCATTGTCTGCAGTGATAATCTCAATGTTATTTTCATATTAGATGTTTAATTATGTTGTGCATGTTTCCAAAAGCTACACAAATCCCGACATGCATTAAAAGAAAAATATGAACCTAAAAAACTTAAATTGACATGAATTACAAACTCAGATGACCCCTTTCTGACCTTATGTTTTTCCTTTAATACAACAAAGCCTGAGAGATATAGTTACACGCTTTCCCTAACCCATGTTTTCACAACTTCACCACAGAGCTTTGAGAGTGGCATTACAGTGATCCTAGTAGGTGCTTTCATGCTGTGCTTTTATCCAAGCTTTTCACTCTGCTCTCATCGCTCATGGAGAACTCTTCCCTAAAATGGCAATGGAATTCACGGGGGAGTTAAATTGAGACAGTTTGAAAGTTATACCTCACTTCCCCTGCTACACAATACTGTATCCCACAATAAATACTGCCGTCCTCTCTGCATTATGTTATGCTCTTATTCAACTTGCGTTAGATATTAAGTTGTCTGCTTCTAGGCATAGAAACTGAGCCTAACGGAGTTCATCTGAAGTTGAAGCCCCTGGGAAATTAGGTTTTATCAAAGCAAGGTGATAGAGTGGAATGGAGTTGAGTTGTCCTCCCCTCACAGGCTATACGGAGGAGTTACTGTCACTAGGTGCCGTTTCTGCCACTCGCTCAAAACACATTTGTCACAGGGACACGCTGATAATACAAAACAGGAAGCATGGTTATGTTCTCCTATCGGTGGCACGAGTGCAACATTATGCAGTGTAATGCATGTCTGCGTCTGTTGAAGGACTTTGTGGGCCAATGTATGAGAAAAACTATAAATTCCTTCTCAGAAGGGGTGTCAGTTTTGACAGTTAATGTCTTCCTGCTAAATGTTGCAGGTTGTGCTTCTTGTATGTGTTTATCTGTAAAGTTTGGCATGAGGTGTTAATGCATCTCTAGGTGGCTGTCAAAGTCTTTGTGTTTTCTCCTTCTCTCTGAGACAGCGTTGAAAGAGTCGAGAGCGTTGCTGAGCCGAGCTCTACACACTGATGTCTGTTTTTTAAATTGGCACCTTTTTATGAAGCAGTTAACCTGACAGCCAGCCAACACTTCTGTCCTTTTCTCATTTCATGCGTTTCCCCGCCTTTTTCCCTCTCCCTCTTCTTGCTCTGTTACACTTCAGAGTTAGAGACTGAGTAGAAAAACAAAAAGCTCCTCCCTAAAGTTTTTTACGTTTTTTCTGTGGTGAAAGGTGTTTTCTCCGTTAAGCTTGTCTACAAAACAAATAGCCTGAGATCTTCTTTCAGAGGCCTTTCAACTCTAGGTGTTTGGCCATTTGTCTGATAAAAATTACACAGATTTTGCATTGACATACTAAATGAGATGAGGAAAAAATGGAAGTCTTGGAAGTTGTGAGCGTAGATTGGGGTTAGCGAAGGGTTATACAATTCATCCACTCCTTCAAGTCTGTATTTCTAACATATATTTTTTCCATTTCTGTTGAGAGATGCTTGTCCTAAGGGCTAGATTAAATTACACTGCGACCGACAGGGCTCCCATGGAACACATCCATTCTGCTGGTGCACGCCATATTGGTTTAGAGGCCCGCGGCTTCATTGGCTATTGAATGATTCTAGCGTATAGCCTCTCTGGCTACTGTTACGGATATTAAAGTCATCTACCATGAAGTGGTCTGACATGTGATTTCCCACTGCCAATGTGTCCGGCCTGGATGTCCATAAGTAGCATGGGAGATGCTGCTGATGGATTGGACCGTTTCTTTAGTGGACAGAATGTGGAAGTCAAGGAGGAAGATTGAGAGGGAGGTAGTTGCATTACTTACACCTGCCAATTTATCTGCAACATCTGTTTCCATCACTACCATAATCATCATCATCATCATCATCATCTTCATCATCGGGAAGTCTTCCTCATGCCCCAGAAGTAGAAACATAAAAAACCTTCCAGCTTGCATCGGGTTACATCATTTTAATTATCCTTTAATCTTACAAATGTAATAAATACAACGTTCTGATTCAGCTACGAGTAAACATGTTGCAAAGTTCGGTCAAAACACGGAATTAGTTAAGTGAGTATACAGGCTTTTAAAAGTATTCATACCACTCTCAATTTGAATTGAAATGAAAACATGTTAAGTTTAATACTTTTTAGGACCTACAACGTAGGGGAATCAAATGTATTTGATGGCTTGCTTGCTTTTGTGCACAACCTGAATTGACCCATGTTTGTTACCCAGGTATCATTAAATATTCATCTTATCAGCTTCCACTGGGCATAGAAATGTTCAAGTACCCAAGGCTAAATGTCTAAATAATGAATCTCCAACAGCAATTAGTGGGTGATTACTTTCATTATTGAATGTTTATGAAACACATTACTTTCTATTGACACAAGGTCTCTTATAAGTTACATTTCAAAATACATCACACCACAAACAGAGCCTATGACTAGCTTCAACAAAGACTTTCTCTTTAAAACGTATGATGTTAAGTGCAGCTCAGCACAACACACAGTGGTCAGTATTTGCCCTTGAAGCCCGTTTGCCTACATTGTGTGAATGCAAAGTGTAGCGTAGCTAACAGGGGAAAATGTTATGCATCATTACCCGCTGAAAGTGGCTATACTTTACACCTGCACTAAACAGAAATGTCAATGTGTCCCGAGGCAGAGGCCACTATCCATGAGCACATAAGGCAGAGGTTAGCAATAGTTAACTTCCAACGGCCCCATCCACTTGAGACATAACAGTATATCATCTAGGGAAATACATTAAATGCATTTTCTCTCTGGTTTCATAGCACTGCAGTGGAAGGATAGTCCTAATGAAGAAAGAATAGTTATTCATAATCAATATTACACTGATTCCACTCAAGTATCCATTCAGATTAACCATGTTTACTACACACAGCATATATATGTATATATATATATATATAAACTGTATACTTACTGAACAGGGCTCATACACAGAGTCATAAAATTAATCTTTTCCTCATTTCGAATAACTTTCTGTAGCCAAATGACCTGAGGGAATGGGGGATGAAAAATCCGCCCTCAGTGACATGATTGATTAGCGTTCTTGTTTGTAGATGAAAATTAAGCTGTCAAATCATATTCCTGCAGTGAAAATTCCCGTTAATGGTGTTTTCGCCCTATGAGTTTGATGCGGGTCGAGGGTTGATTTGTTGTATCTCTGATAAGATTATAGAGAGGAGACAGGGTTCTGCTGTCATCTGCTTCAACAACAGAAACAGCTTAATCAACGGCAGCAGGACGGAGGGAATTTACTCGAATGGAGGTCATAATTCTTCATTTCTGTTAGTGTCAGCCTTTCCTCTCTGGCAGGTAATTGAAGACAAGCTGGAGTCAGTCAGGAGCCTGATCTTTGTGGAGACAACACTCAGCTGTGTTTTTTTTCTGCTATCCAAAACAACACATGACAGAGAGCAAAATACCTATCATAGAAATATATTAAACATGTCAAATGTACCAGACTTAGGAAGATACAGAGGGTAATGTAATGATGGCCACTATGCAACAATTGAGCAAAATACAGTATTACTGTAGAAATGTGTTACAGCCTCTGTGACTGACACAAGGGATAAGCAGACAGTAACAGCACTTCTTGGGTCAGAGATCACAGTGCATTCATGGTTTAAGTGAACCCATCTCGCAGAATGCTGATGCACGCACGTTAGTCTAATATGGACACAATCCACAATCTCCTATTTGAGTGATTTTAATCTGAAAAGGGCAGCAATCCAATATCAGTTGCAGCACACTGCAAGAGATGAGTGAGCCGAGTTATGGTGTTTTAGGCGTGTAAGATGGGTGGCAGATAGGAAAGCACTTGATGCGA